ATCCATCCATCCAGATATCTATCTATCCATCCATCCAGATATCTATCAATCCATCCACCTATCCATCCATCCATCATCCAGATATCTATCAATCCATCCAGATATCTATCCATCCATCCATCCAGATATCCATCTATCCATCCATCCACCTATCCATCCATCCATCATCCAGATATCTATCAATCCATCTATCCAGATATCCATCTATCCATCCATCCACCTATCCAGATATCTATCTATCCATCCATCTATCCACCTATCCATCCATCCATCATCCAGATATCTATCAATCCATCCATCCATCCATCCATCCATCATCCAGATATCTATCAATCAATCCATCCATCCATCCAGATATCTATCTATCTATCCATCCATCCATCATCCAGCTATCCATCCATCCATCCATGTATTTCTTTATGTATTTAATAAACACTGAACGCACCTCAATAAAACTGATTTATCTGGAAATATTTGTGATAATTACATTTTTAGACATTTTAATGTGTAAAAGTTAAAAATGTAACCTTTAAAAAGAAGAACAGGACAGCAAGTAACAATTATTCTGTTATATATTCAAAATATATCAAATATATTTAGATTGTTTTATTTAACCAACATATCAAATTGTTTACTGAGACAACATGTTTTGTTTTTTTTGCTTGAAAAATTACAAAAATAATAAATCAATCATCAAAATAGTTTCAGATTAAATGTTCTGTTCATCAACTCATAAAATAAATAGAAACACTGAGGAGGCATTTTAAATCCGTTTGATTCTGTTCTTGAGCTTTCACCTGAGGTGTGTTCACCTGCCCCACCGGCAGCCAATCACAGCTCACCTTTCATCTTCTTCTGGAGGGCGGAGTTTTCGGCCTGCATGCGGAGCATCTCTCCGTCTACGGGACTGGAGGCGGAGTTTGATGATGAAGCTCCTCCTCCTTCCTTCAGGCCCTGGTTCTCCTGTTCCAGCTGTTCGATCTGCGTACACAGCTGGAAACAAACGGGACAGAATTCACATCGTTTATCTCAGACAAGAGATGTAAAAGGATCGTGGGATGTTCATCTTTCCAACAGTCCTTGAACACATCATGTGTGACGAATGCTTCCGTCAGAAATCAAAGAAATGTAACTTGTTTTGTTATCAACTGTGTTCATTAACTCCACTAAAGACATGTTCTATTCTCTCCACTTCTAGTCGTGATGGTTCTGTTTCATAGAGATGAAGGACTTCATGTTGCAGTGTTCCTGAACGCACCGCGTCAGGTAAACAGTGTATCAGGTGTGTCAGGTGGGCGGTACCTTGGAGAGCTCCGTCATCAGCGTGCTGTTCTGTAGTCTGAAGTCTTCTTCTTGACTGTGAAGTTTACTCTGAAGCATCTCGTTCTCACCCAGCAGCGCCTCCACCTCCTGCAGCACGTTTAATGTACCAACTCATTCATTATCTGATTATATATTTATTCATTAGTACACTAGAATTATAACACATCAAATCAGGTATTTATCATTTCAATATAATAATGTAAAAAATACTGAAACTACAATTTAAAGTTTAAACTAAAATATTCTAGATAATTAAATTGAATAGAATATTAATTAGAAAGAAGAATAGAATGAAAACTCACCTGAGCTTTCTTGCTCTTATTCAAAGCCTGAAGAAAAACAAGTAAAAATAAAATCATTAAAATAAACTAAATATTTGATAAATATGAGTTAAATCTGAGAATTTAAATTAGTTTTAAATGAGAATATAAAACATTAAGACATCAAACCTCAAAATGTAGGTGAAACTAATAATAATAATAATAATAAAGCATTGTTTACCTTCTGTGCTTTGATGAAATCTTTTTCCAGAACAACATTCTTCTGACGGAGAACGTTGAGCTCTGAAAACAAACATCATTATAAACAAACCGTCAGCGACATTAAGGATCAATTAATCATCAATATTCATCATATCACGAAATAAAACGCAGCATCATCATCATCAAACATGTGTTTTACCTGATGAGTTCTTCCTGAGATCATCAGACAGCTGATAGTTCTGAGTGCGAAGCTCCAACAGCTGAGCCTTAGAACACACACACACACACACACACACACACACACCACCATCATATTCATCACTTCATGATGAATAACTTTGTTCTGCTCTTAAAAGTGAATTCATGATTAAAAGTAATGTTCTTATAGAATATTAATATTGATGTAGATTAAACTAACCAACAGGATCAATTACTTTCACTACATTCGTATACTTTTACTGCATTCTGTAAGGTTTAGAGTGCAGTACATTTACACAGTGTGTATTAGTACTTTTACTGCAGTAAAGGATCAGAGTACCTCTGTAGTATAAGTGAGTGTGTATCATGTGTACTTTTACTACATTTATACTACATAACTGTTCATTAAACCTCTGTGTCTGTGAGCTCGTGACTCTGTCTCGTGGATGCTAACATGTTAGCTCACGGCTACAAACAAGTGTTAGCTTCAGGAAAGCTAACATGCTACATGGAACCATTTTTTTTTCCTCCCCAAAGGCTAAGCTAAACTAAGCTAAGCTAAGCTAATCTGAGCCAACCGCTAGCTATGGCGTGAGCTGTCGTTAACCTGTCAATCAAAGATGCCTCCATCAGTCTGTAATCAATCAGATCGATACATCCGATCAGAATCACGTGACATTACTGTTATATAGATATTATTATTATTACCGCTAACCACTGACGGCTAACGGCTAGCATGAGCGAGCTAACGTCGCTGTCAGTGATGCTGGACCTGACTGCAACACCGACAGGTGTGTGTGTGACTGACAAACACACACGCAGACTGACAAAAACACCTGTCGTGTGTGTGTATCTCACCTGCATCCGATGGAACTCCTCCTCTGACAGAGCCTGCGACATGGCCATGTTTACCTGAGCTACAGCTAGCTAGCAAGCTAAGCTAGCGGAGGAGGAGGAGAGCAGCACAGAGGCGGAGACACGTGACAGAGCTCTCACTCTGACACTGTTTCCAGGAAACCAAGAAGAAGTATTCAGATAATTACTGCAGGAAATTATATCACACTGTGAGAATACTCCACTACACGGATCGTGTCCTTACTGTTACGTATATATATATATATATATATATATATATATATATATATATATATATACATATCATCTATTTTTGTTTTTATTGTAGTTACTTCTATGTTTCTGTTTTTACCATGTAAAGTGTCTTTGAGTATCTTTTAAAGCGCTATACAAATAAAATGTATAATTATTATTAACATAGTAAAAGTAGTGCATTCATAAATGTTCCTTCAGTAAAAGGGTGTCAGTATATTCAGTAAAATAAAGTGACTGTATCCAGGTATATATATGTATTTATCCTATCAACAGGAAGTCCTGACCACTGGTCCACAGAGGAGAGGCTTTACAATGTAAACAATAACAATAGAAATAAAGAAACAGAGATAAATAAATGTCACAGGAATCCGCATTTTACAATATCTTATGAATATGCATAAGATATGACTACGTAAAATATTATTGACAAGACGTTTTTACAAGATGTGAAATATGAAATGAATGAATCAAAGTTCATTATATTCACACCACTCATACGTGCAGGAATCTATTGTCGTGTTTGATGCAGTGACTCTTTGTGTTTGTGCTCAGTTTCTGGTTCAAACTATTTTTGAACCAGAAACGTTCCTTTCCTGCTCGTCTGCTGTCTGATTGTGAGGTCAGGCTGATCTGATATCAGCTCTTTGGCCTGAAGGTTCTCCTCAAAGATCTCCTCTCAAACGGGTCTTGGGGTAGGATCGCGAGGATCGCTTCCGGTTTCAACTTCCGGTTCTCGCGAGGATCGCTTCGTTAGTGAAGCTGTGACGTAAAGGAGGAAGTATTCTGACTCTACTGCAGTACAAGTATTTCAGTATCGTCAGTAACATGTAGTTAAAGTATTACAACTGTGACAGTTCTACAATATATTATATACATTCGATTATTATAGATTACTACATGTTCTTCTTTAATCTCACATAATCAGACCTCTGAGGTTTAAAATAAATTCAACAACATACTGAGACTGAAACACAAACGTTTACTGGAACAACAGAAGAAAAACGGTTTGCAGCCAATCAGAGCTTTAGTTTCAGGATTTAAAAGGTCACGTTATCAGGATGCTGTCAGGTCTCTGACAAGACACACACACATACACACACGCACACACACACACGCACACACACACTCACACACACACATATGAATGTGTGTGTGTGTCTGTGAGTAGGTGTGTTTTTCTTATATAAAAAAAATGTGAAAAATTGTCTCATCAACCCAAAATGTCACGACCCCCCTGCAGTACCTCCGCGGACCCCCTAGGGGTCGCGGACCCCTGTTGAAGACCTCGGCACTATATGAACACCGCTCTGTTGGATAAACCTTCTCATGTTCTTCATAACTTCATAATAATCTTCTCTGAGGCTTCATTAGAACATAATCTGCAGGAAGTGAACGTTCCATTAAGTGACCAGAACCAGAAATACTCTTGTTGTTTATTGATGTATGATGATGATGATGACTGTTTACACCTGTTTTCATTCATTTATTATCCATTTTTATGAAGAGATATGAGTGTTATGAAGACACATTTCATATTTCATGTTTCTATGTTGACACTTTGTGTATTTTCTCTATTGATCTTTATCTTGTGCTCTCTTTTCTATCTGTTTATCAGATGATAAAGATATTAAGCCTCCTTAGAATGACCTCATTTTCATTCAACAACAGAATACACAAGTAAACTAAATATTTGTGAAAGAATGAAACATTTTTTATGTTCTTTCAGGAAATGAAAACAAAAAATGTCACGGTATTTTACATTACACATCTAAGTTAACAGTCTAATCTTGTATTTTTATATTTTCATATATTTTTACAAAACAGGAAAATTCTGTAAAAAAATTTAATATTTTAATATTTACTTTATAACCCAATTCTGTTAAAACGAGCAGCAAACACAAACGCTGCTGAATTCACTCAAAGAGCCGCCTCGTTCACTAACATCAGGACACGCAGAATATGAATTATGAATATTGCAGCTTTGATTTAGAGAAAGAATAAAATGAACTGTGCTCCTGTAAACAGACAGCAGCTGATGTTCAGACAGTAAACGTCTCTCTGGTGGTGAAACACGTTACGCTGCATCTGAGACTCCTGCAGTGAGAAACAATGAAACTCTTTTATTGCTGACTCAGCGTGAAAAACATCAAGGAAACAAACATTCAGACGCATCATATGATGTAATCCCTTACTAATAAGTGAACTATCGATGTCTTACATTGAGGCCTCCGGCTGGAAACGGATTTCCAGGAGATTAACGTTAATATCATTAAAGCTTTTAACTCGTCACAGTCGGCATTAAATACAACAAAAGAAGTGCTGAGTCATGAAAAGTGAACACCGCTCGTCTGCTCTTCATGACGAGCTGCTACCTGTCTGAGTCGTCTGTGTCCGATAACAGAGCGAGGAGCGAGCGTTCTCAATGACTGATTCATCCATTAGTTGTTTGGTGTTTAGAATGTGAGGAAAAGAAGAAACACGTGTTTCCTAAAGTCTATGACGTCGTTTTCTTTTGTCCACAAGTCAAAGATATTCAGTTTATTGTCACATTTAAGAAGCTGCAGTCAGAGAAACGTCATGATTCATTTAATTTAATCATTTAATAGTTGCAGCTTTCACTGTAATCAACCACTTTTAACAGTGAGGTCAGCTGCTTTGATCTCAATGAGACAGACGAGAGGAGACGTGATCCCTTCAGTCTGATGATCACTGACGTCTCTCGTTGGTTTGTGGACGTTTTGAAGCCTCTAGTTCAGCGTTTAGGCTGTCGCCATCTTGTTTTTTCTCAACCAGTGAACAGGAAGTGACCATATCTGGACTGAGGAGGAGTGACGTGGAGACACCGTATACGTCTCTGTCAATCACTGTGTAGCCCCGCCCTAAAGCATCCCCTGCTTTAT